ATATTACAACAGATTTGACTGATTTTGATGTTACAGAGGAAGGATGCCGCATTAAAATAAAGCAACAGAATACAGCATCCTGTTTTCATAATCGTTGAAATCAAAAATAAAATCTAAAATTCTATTAATCGCACAGCCCTATAGTAATTAAATCATGTTTAAGAGCTGGTGGTTTGGGGGCCCTACACAACTTGTGTACTTTGGGAGGACCCGCACTGAAAATACTTGTGCGGTTTCTTTCTCAACTGTTTACGGTCACTTAAGACATAATCGACTGTGTTTACATGAACACTCACCAAGACAGTTATTTTGACATAGATTATTTACATGCAATAAGCCGTTAAAAAGAAATCGATTTTGCATTCACACACTGTCTGAGAGGCAGCATTATGTGTGTGTGCTTTAAGTGTGAGCGCACAGAGTGTGTAAGTACTGAACTGAGTTCTCTTTCGCGTCTTCTTGCACTTGAATAGTTTAAAATCGCTTGAATGTTTAAATTGTGCAAATGATAAATTGTCAACTGTTTAGAATTCAAGCTCTGAAAGCTTTGTCATAAGAAGAGCTCCACAATTACAATACCACAATAAATAAAAAAGTTAATAAAAACGTGCAAACTGGAATTTTCGGGGTTTAAAGATCAATACTGTTCTAGCTTGATTGGGAAAAATAACCAACCAACACTTTCAGAGAGGGTGTTTTTTGCTGATGACGGCTGTGTGGACGGAGCAAAGGAACCGGGCCGGTGTGGACTTCATCAGAAGAGAACTGGTGATGGTTAAATACTGTTACACCTGCTAGGATTTCACACACTGGATATGAAAGCTCTGTTTGAAGCGGCCAGAATCAATAAAACCAGGTTACAAGTTCAAGATGCACTGAATCTGGTAAAACGGATGTGTATAGACTAATGAAGAACCATAACTTAGTCACTGCTTAAGGACATTCATATTCAGTTCATACTATTTAGTGGACTGAAAAGATCCTGTGTTATATCGCTCGAACCTGGCAAACTGAGTGCCAGTCACCGAGTCGCTCACAATATTTAATACGGTTTAAAGCATCCAATGTCACAGCAAACAGGCTTTCCATCTAACATAAATCAATGTTTACTGTAGTCTAATAATAGCTCACTCTTCCACCTGTCCCGCAAAATCACGTCTGCTGACCTGCAACAAGGCAATAACCAGAGGGTCGTCCTATATTTGGGGTACTCCAAAAAGAAATTTAAATAAGTTAAATATTCTGATTTATTAATTTAATTAAACCTGTGGCAAACATTACATTATTTTGATGAGTTCTTTTGAGAAAATCTGATTATAAAGTGTGCACACATTTTCATTTTCAGAGAAAACGAGTGAAAAGTGATTAGTCACATGACATTTATAGCCAATGTGATTCAGGTTTGTCTTAAAAGTTTACAGAGTTACATGTTCTATGTCTGTTTGGACTTTTGTTTCATTTCCTGTCTTGTGTGCTGTAGTTTTTCACAAATCTTTTAATTTTTTCACTAGTGAAAATATATATGATTTTTATTTTGAGAATTCTGTCATGTTACCAAACTTTCAGTAATCAAACCAGTAAAATTTCACGGTTCTCAGTACCAATTTTGGTACCATAGCCATTTATATTTTTCAATTTAACTACTTAAAAAGAAAAACATTTAATTAGTTAATTATTAATGCTATTAATAATTATAAGTAAATAATACATTATAACATTAGTATGTATCCTTTAAATGTTGTTCAATTATGCAAACATTGCATTAAAAATATCAAATTAAAGTAATAAAATAACAAAGAAACACGTTACAGGTAATGGAACAAGTGGCCGGTCTATTGCATGCACGTACAATGCAAGACTTAATGCACAGATATATTTTGACACAGATTTTTTTTGTCCCATCATTGCTATGGTTATCACTATGTCAATTTTAATATGATCATCACTCCCGACATTTTGCAGTGTGTACTTATAAGCATGAAAAATAAAACAGAAATCGAGCGAAGACGCTCCCTTTATAATCAATGAAGCTGATATAACACCATAAAGCAGATTATGTGACAAACCTGGGTATGTTTAAGGGTAAGTAAGCAGATAAACTCAGCATTCACTTCCAAAATCAGAGGTAACTTTCAGGGTATGTACGTAGCCATAACAGCTTATTCTCTGAACATAACCTGCTCCAGACTTCAGAGCTATCAGTGCATACCTACTGATGAGACTCCAGTGGGCGTTATTCCAGTTATTACAACATAATTATATATATAGTTTATATATGTATTAAAAAGCACTATTATAAGTAATATATAAGGTAATATTTAAGTTGTATAGATATATATGAATTATAAAGCACTATTATAACAAGATTTATTTATTCTAATATATTTATAACATTTATTTTATCGTCATCTCACACATGGATATTACTTTAATAATGCTGATTCAAATTTAAAAATACTTCTGCTTTTTATAGCTTATCTGGCAATTTTTATACTGATTGTGTGTAATAATACACAAAAATAAAATATGCAGCCCATACAGCAAAAAATATATTTTCAAATATATATATTTTTAAATATATTAAAATACACAAAAACATTGCCAAAAATTATTTGCAATAATATGTTTCAAAATATATGTACAGAAATATATTTTCTACCAATACATTTTTGGCCATTTTTTAAAATACATTTAAAAAATATAAATATATATATTAAACATATACAAAGTATATTTTGCCCTATAATTTTACCTTCAATCCAAGAAAATACATTCACATATGTCATAACTGAATAAAAACTTTACTTGTTGTCTATAACACATGTGAACATGATATATATATATATATATATGTTATATAAAGTATTTAATAAAGATTCTAGAAAGAAATGCTGAAGAACACAGGAGTTATCTAACATTGTCCAACATTAACGCAAGACAAGGAAACAGAGGAAAATACAGGGCTTAAATAATCAGAGGAACATAATTAAGGAGAACAGAAACAGGTGAGGAGCTAATTAACAACCAGGGAGATAAACTGGGGAACTGAATGGGGGCACAGAAAAACTTAAACCAAAAAGGAACGTGACACTATTTTTCATAGTTATTAATGTGAACAATCACCTAAACCTGAGTAACTTGAGAAAGTGTGGTGTGTAACTTCCAGTAAAGGTGTGTGTGTGAGTGTCAGAACTGTGTCAGTAGAACAAAGCCTTCCTGTTGTCTATAAATACTCCATCAAATAAAAGCGCTTGATAGCGAGCAGTCCACTGCGCTGTAATACGAGCTCCGATGACCAAACTGCCACATGTCCTTCGTGAACCTCACTGTGAAACTGGGAAAGAAGATGTGTTTGAGGAGAACGGTGTGGACGGCATGTGTGATTGGAGCGAGGTCTGGACTGCAGTCTCTGTGATACTATGATAATCATGTGCAGGGATTGAAATAAACTTTTTCACTCACCAGCCAATTTGGCTACTAAATTTTTAAGTTACCGGCCATTCATAACTTCTACTAGCCAAAAAAACATAAATAAACCAACAGTTTGAGGATGTCTGGGCGTGACGAAGCGACCATTGCAAATCATTTTGTGTCAGTAGGGGTGTGTGATATTGACAAAAAATGATATCTCAATATTTTCTGGGATTTTATGACGATAATTAGATGATATTTTGCCGAGTGTGTTATTGTGCTGATATCATAAGGACTACCGTGGACAGCTGACTCCTAAAGTTTTTTATATATATTTCATATTCTGTGTGGTCAGTTCACAGCAGTGATATAAATTAATATTTTCCAGTAAGTTCAAATTGATTTTGACCTTTTATGGGCATTTTTACCTTTATAAAGCCATTTTTCTAAAAGTGTGCATCATCTTTTGAGTCAAATTCTTACATTTAATCAGTCAATTATAATAATAATACATTTACGCTGTTACTAAACAAATGAAATCAATATCAACAAAATTCATCTTTGCAGAAGTTGCATATGAATTATGAAGTGGCATTTAGATGTATTTACACATGTTAATGCAGCTTAGAGGGACATGGAATGTTTTACCCTGCAGTTACAAATGCATAAATAATGTTTTGATATTTTAAACATGAAATGTTGAATACTGACATTTGCAATTATTTTAAAAATGAAAAGATGCTTGAAATTTAAAATTAAAACAATTAAAACCGCCAGCAGGTGGCAGCAAGTCACTGTTACGTGAGTCATTGCGATTGAACCGAATAATTTAAACGAGTGATTCATTCAGGAACTAAACGGTGTTTGGAATTATTTTTGTTGGCGAAATAGTGCAAAAACAGCCAATATGGTGTCTAAAACGTAAGTCTCTTGATATTAACGTATTGTTTATTGAACTGTTGTATAAAATCAATATCACATTTGTAACCATGCTTTAAAAAAACCAAAAAAAAAACAGCACTCTTCGTGTGAAATTGATTAACTATATGAAATCATATAAATATATACATTTTCTGCCCCCTTATCTTGAATTATGTGATCATTCTTAATGCATATTAATAGACTGAATCATGCAGTGAAAGTATGCACTCTAAATGCGCACGCACTCTAAAGCTGTGTTGGTCTAACCAGACTTCATCTCGTCGCGTATGCGTGCCTCTGTAGGTGTGTTTTGTTTGGTTTTTGCAATATACTCGATAATGTCATAATGTCTCACGAGTTCAGTATGTGTGCTAAAGCTGCGCAGATTTGGCTTGCATGAACTTCCCCAAGAAATAAATGAGTGAACATAACTTATGAAAAGTAACCCGCCAAATTGGCAAGTGATTTGACAGCGTTACCTGCCACAGCTGATTTTTTTACCTGCATTTGGCGGGTGTTAATTTCAAACCCTGATCATGTGCATCTAGAATGGGAAGTGCCAAGTGTATAAACCGCTCCGTGGTCAATGAGATTAGACAACACAGTCTGAAGGAAGAATAAGTAGTTTGCATTAAGAAAGACAAGCAAAAGCAAACTCCGGCACTCACTGGGTCGCTGCGGGCGTTCGGGCTGGTGTTGGGTTGAGCCGCAGCCCTGTGACCCCTGTGACGTCCGTCTGTGATGCTGGGCATGAAGCCCTGACCGAAGGGGTCAGAGAAACCCCTCATCATCTGCCGCATGCGCTCATGATGCACCTGGAACGGGTCGCTAAAGAAGGAGACCAGACAGAATACAATTAAAGGGGTCATATGATGCAATTTAAATTGTTCCTTTCTCTTTGGAGTGTTACAAGCTCTTGGTGCATAAAGAAGATCTGTAAAGTTGCAAAGACTAAAGTCTCAAATCCAAAGAGATATTCTTTATAAAAGTTAAGAGTCAGCCACGCCTACCTAAAACGGCTCGTTCTAACACGGCCCACATGTCTACCTCACTATGTGGGAAGATTTGCATAACGCCGCCCAAATGTTCACGCAAAGAAAGAAGGCATAACTTTTATTCTCGCTGTAGTATTATTGTTGTTGCCACCGCCACGTCGTGAAGGCACTGTGTAATTCGTTGTAAAAGCGAAACTACTTTGTTTGGCCTTCCAAAAGAGGACGATATCCGCTCACTCAAGCCGGCCTCCGCTCACTCTAGGCCCCGCGGCCTCCGCTCACTCAAGGCCGCGGTGTGTGACGCTGTGTTTCGTTGTGAAAGCGAAACTACTTTGTTTGGCCTTCCAAAAGAGGACGATATCTTTATAAAGTGGGGCTGTTC